AGGTATTGATGATCCTCTGGATTTCTGCTGGGTCTGTTGTCATTTCACCCTTTTCATTCCTAATTGCATGGATTTGGGCCTTTTCTTTCCTTAGTTGTCACAAGTTCTCCTCCTAAAATTAACCTGCAAAAATAAAAGCCATTCAAAGTTTTAACCTGTTGGACTTTTTTTAATATTCTATTGATAGTACTTTTTACCAAATCTATAGATTTCCTTATTTATTATCTCTTCTCTCCCAACACGCAGTTATCTAGGTGTCATATGATCAGGCGCTACTCAGTATTGTTCACCCCTTTCTCCCCAGTACCATGAGATGTACATGCCATAGAGTGGTGCCACATACACGTTTAATAAAAATGCAAGGATATACAACCAAATACGTGGGACAATCCACACAGCCTACTCATATGTGGTGAGGTGCTTAGGGAATGCTTCATAACTTATTTCTATAGATAACCTGATGCTTTTTCCTTCAGTAATTCAGAGTCATGGTCTATTTATTTGATTTCTGATGAGCAAAGAATTGTCATTTCACAAATATATTCAAATATAGTGTGGTAGCAGAAGCTATTTTTAGAATGGATCCCATGTCTTCATTACTCCACCTCATCTAGCATTGAAGTTCTGTATTTCAGCTGAGATATGTGATTTTTTTTCTGGTTTAGTTGATGAAGGCTGAGTTAGATAGATATGAGTAAGTGCTACAGTGTAGCTTGTGGGGAAGTGTTCAGTTAGGAGACCGTCTACCTGGTGGGGGTTACTTTATATAACCAATTTTAAACTTTTCTCAACTATCATATTGAAGATGTTCAGGAAAGGAATACTAGCAAGACTATTCTTTTAGAAAACAGTTATTTAAAACCAAATTTGGTGTTAGTAGCTACCTCTTATTAGTGCGTGATTGCAGCACATGATGTTTGCCGGCCTTGTGTGCAGTGCATGTGCCCAACACACCTTCATCGCTCTTCTTATCCCTTCTCTTCCTGTTCTCTCCCTCTCCATCCCCTTCCCGTTGGAGAAAGATCTATCTCACCAATTCCTGTTATCTATCTTTCATTTCACTCTTTGTTTATATTTTGGGTCTCTCAAAGAAGAGAAGCCATATTTAATCTGGCTTTGAGACCATCGTGATTTAGGAACAGGCTTGACGCATTTAAAGTGAAGTTATAAACAGCTGTTCTTCCTGTAAAACTGGCTTTTTGGAGCTACTTCAGGCCGTCAGGCTTGCTGGTAGCCCGAGAATGTGAAGCAGGAAGTGTTTCCAGGCTAAACCCAACTCCTTCTGCCAGCTCTTCCCTCAACAGCTGCCCTGTGTTTCCCCTCAGTGTCACCCTGTCCAGGCTTCCAGAGCACCAGGCAGCTTCCCTGACTAGAAAATGTCTTTCTCCAAGCAGAAACAGTTTAATAAGGTGTTCAAATGTAGGTATTGAGCTGTCCATAATGAAAACAAACTTTAAAATACCATAGCAAAAGTAAGTAAATAAAGCAACCATATTGAAATTAAAGATCCAACAGCAGTAAAGGCACTGAGTGGTCAGTCCAGCTGCTGCCTGTATGTGCTTTTTAAAGACAAGTTTCATAGGCTCTGGACAAAAACTCTATAGCAAGCAAGGCTTTCAAGAACAGAACTGATGTGATGAATCAAGTTTCTGGGAGTGTTGGCATGGATGTAAGACCTCCTGAGGCAGTGGTGCTGCAGTCTGCTCAGCTGTCCATGCTCTTCTTGCAGGGCTGAGGCAACCCGGGTGGGCTGGTCAGCAGCCAGGCCGCCGTCAGAGTGGCGCTGCTGGGAAGTAACCCTGGGTCACGGGACTTTCCTAGTTTTCATTTACACATCTAACTTTAAAAGTCTCTGTTTATAAATAGCAGCAGTGTGCAACGCTGATATTTTTATTTAATGTGCTTTATCATTAGATTTTTATTTTATTATATATTTGCTGGGTCCTATGTAAAGTTTCAGTAATTCCATACAGTGTGTAATGACAAAACTAAGCTAATTAATATATGCACCACCTCACACACTTAATACCTTTTGGTGAGGACATTTGTGTCATTCCTATGTCTTGCCTTTGACCAACATCTCACCCTGCACACACCCCAGCCCCAGCACACACCCCAGCCCCAGCACACGCGTACTTCCCAACAGTAGGTTTCCTGCGTCCTTCAATTGCACAGGAGTCAGGGCATGCTCTGCTTGACTGCCTTTGGTTGTGTTCACTTAGCTTAACGTCCTCAGGGTCAGCTGTATTGTCACAAATAGCAAGATTTATTTTCTTTTGTATGGCTAAATAATATATATAATGTATATAATAATATATATAATAATATGCATCACATTTTCCTATCATTCATATACTAGGAGACACTTAGGTTGACTTGATAGCCACTGTGAATAATGCTGCAATAAACACAGGAGTGTGGCTATCCCTTTGACATACAGTTTTAATTCCTTTGAGTTTGTACTCAGTAAAAATGTTGGATCATGTATATTATAACCATTTTTCATTTGGGGTACTTACGTGTTGTTTCCCATGATGGCAGTGCTCATTTACACTCCTTCTGCTCCCTTTGGGGCTTGAATGTCCCCTGAAGGTTCCAGTGCTGGAGGAGTTGCCTGCAGGAGATTCGCTGGCTGTGTCATGAACCTCAGGAGACAGGGCCTGAGGGGAGTCCCGAGGCACTGGCCTTTAAAGGGGTTGTGGAAGGCTGGCCCGTCCTCCTTTGCTTTGTTCGCTGCTCATCAGGTGAGCTGTGTACTCTATCACATATCCCTCCATGACAACTTGCTTTGCCTCAGGTCCAAAGAGGTGAGACCACTTAACCATGAACTGAAACCTCCAAAACTATAAGCCAAAGTAATCTTTTGCTCTTTATAAATTAGTTGCTTCAGGTATCTCATGGTAGTGATGGAAAGCTAGCACATTCACCGACATTGTACAAGAATTCTCTGTCTGCACTTCCTCACCAATACTTCTTCTCTTTTGTCTTGAACATTGCTTCACACATAGGTGTGAAACATCTCATGCCTGCTGGATGGGGGGCATTTTCCATACAACTGCTTGCCATGTACATGTCTTGTTTTAACCATTGTTTAATAAAGCTCTTTGTTTCCTTGCTATTGAGTTGGGTTCTTCATTTATGTTTTATATTAGCCCTCTATCAGGTATGTAATTTGCACATATTTCCTCCCTCTGTTGATGTTTCTGTTGCTGTACAGAGGCTGTTTAATTCGTGTGATCTCATTTCTTTATTTTTCCTTTTGTTGCTTTTGCTTTTAGGATCATATCCAAAAAAATCTCTGCCAAGACCAATCCTAAGAAAGTTTTTCATATACTTTATTCTAGTAGTTCTGCAATTTTGGGTCATATCTTTGATTCACATCACATCATTTCTAAGAAATTACATATGGGTTTTCCATTTTAAATTAAGGGGTTGGCATGTGATATCTGTGTTCTTTCATTTAGGGTTATAAAGAGCTGCTGAACCAGTTGTGCCAATTGAAACACATGAAATTTTTCCATAAAAATTGCAATGATACTAAAAATTTAAAGTGAAATTTTAAAAAATGTTTGTAGATGACCTAAGTTTTTAACTTCATAAATTTTCCAATATTAAAGAAATCAATATTTTTCTGAATAATCTTATTTATAAAACCAACCTACCACCTTATGAATAAAACAACAGAAAGTTTCAGTTTCTTCCCTGATCACTGTTCTGCAGTGGGGAAGCTCTCACGGTTTCTGGTTTGCCTCTGATTGCCTCAAAACATGGACAGCATGAAGGGTCACTGGCCATGAAGGAATGTCACGGGCACAGTACCTCACCTCGTGCTGCCTTTTAAAAGAGTACAGGCTGCCCCAGGCCTGGCACTGACAGCTTGCGCTCTGGGGTAATTTTATTCCACTTCTCCATGTCATTATTCTATTTGGAAAAATCCCAAAAGCCTTATAACAAGAGTTGTCTCAAAGGATGCTGTTTTATGATTCTACAGAACACACTTGCAGTTGAGATGGTGCCATCTGAGGATGTGTGCATGTGCGTGCATATTTTGTAAACTCCTACAATTTTGTTCTTATTTAGGAGAGCTTCATTGATAAACTAAAGATAGTAGACTTAATATTTTCATATTTACTTGTATTGTTTTCTATGATTTTATTCATCTAAAGTCTTATTTTATTGTTCTATACAGTCACACCTGTGAGATTTATAAATCTTGATTATTACAAAGATCAATGCTATTATGGCATCAAAATTAGAATTAAATTAAGAAAGATACCTTTTCAGACAAAATCAGTTTTACCACTCTGTGGCACTCTGTCTTTTCTATACAATTTGTAAAAGGAAACATTTTGTTTCTATAATACAAGTTCAGAGATGATGTCAAAAGACAGTATTTCTAGAAGCTTCCATATAAAACAGAGTCCTGCCTATCATAATTCAAGTGTCTAAAACGGGATTAATGGGATGAAATAAAGTCAAACAGCTTGCTCCAGTGAGTATTTAAGAATGTCTATCATTACAACCACGTGAGTTAAGGATGATTCGGGAAAGACAATCTCGAAAGCAGCTTTTAGAATAAACAAGAGGTTCTCTCTAACTGTCATGCTAAGTGTTTCCCTAAGGGCCTTTCTTCCAGCTCAGGGCATAGCTGCCTGAACACTTTTTTTCTGCACAGAAGTCAGGTATATTATTACTCTTCCTATGAGAAACATAAAGCGTGAGTTACATAAAATATAGAGGGTGTCCAGCTTAATTTTCAGTACAAGATCACAATAAGAACATTCAAACGCTTTCCTAGTTTTCTTCGTGCTTGGCAGAATGACATAAATGATATAAATTAACATTTAAACCCAATCACCAACAGTGAACATGTGCAGCTGTGTAGTAAGAGATCACTCAATCTTCCCTGACTCAGGAGAAGTCACTATCAGAACACATCTGGGCTGCTCCAGTCCTGTGAGATTTGACAAAGGAGAACCTTAGAGTAGGTATCTGTAGTGTCTAGCTTAAGACTTTCTTTTCATTAGTGAAATGAAATCTCGTAAAGATCACCAAACCGTCAGTACTAAGAGGACGTAGAAGGGCATGGTTGTGCACACCTGTGGTCCCTGTACTCAGGGAGACTGAGGCAGGACAATCACGAGTTCGAGTCCAGCCAGAGCAACTTACCTTGGCTCAAAGGGCCTGAGAGTGAGAGAGTGGGGATGTAGCTCATGGAAAAGACCTTGAATTCAATCCGTCTACCACAGAAAAAGTGTAACAGTTAGTTAAAATGCCAAAAGTCGAAGTGGAGTTATATGTCAGTTCATGATAAATTCAGTAATGGTTCCCAGTCCCTCACTCCTTCTTTGTGATGTGTCACTCATCCCTATTATTTTGCCATCTGGCTTTACATGACTTATAGTAGAAGATGCAGTGTAGATACGACTCATTGACCGTGGGACTCGCCTGGACAATAAAATACTAACATACGCAACGTAAACATGGTTTTAAAATGTGTTTGTGTGTTTGGCACAGCTTCTTGGCTTCTGCTTTCCCCTAGGCAAACAACACACCCTAAGTACCTGCTGGTCCCCAGAGCGGAGAAGGCGGCTGAGCAGTTTTAAACTTGGCCCGAATCCTGAGCCTTGCTAAGATCAAATACGTCCACCACAGATCAGCCAAACTGCAGCCGACCTAAAGATACCTAAGCGAGAAAGTAAGTACTTCTGCATAAGCCACCGAGGTTTGAGGGTTGTGTCACAGCTTTGTCACAGCTGCTGGGTAACTGTGCACGAGGCTTGTGGAGTCAGCCTTCAGAATGCCATGGCTTTGTTTTAATTCTAATTCTGCCGACATCAGTTAAATTGCAGAAATTTCTCTTCTAAACAACGGAAATATTAGTAAATGTCAAATATTGCATTGAGAGTTACTTGAGTTAGACATTACTAAGCGTAAACAAGTTTCAGTTCGTAAAAAAGTTAGAAATACCACATAACTTCACATAGAACGACGGTTAATATCTCCAGTGTCCAAAGCTTACATAGAAAGTATAGCTAGAAGTTTATACCTACTAAAATTTTGTGTGTCCCGAATCTTAGATGTAGCTGATGTTAATTTGACAGGTAATCGAATCGCTTGCCATGGCTGGAAACAATTATAACTTTTTAAGATTTTCTGTTATAACACATGGAGTTAGTTTACTAACTACAATGGCTACAGACATTGACATGGGTAGAGTTTTCAGAAGAATTTAGGGACGCACAGCCCAAATCTGTGTTAGGGTTCTATCGCTGCTGTGGTTACCAAAAGCTTAGTGGCTTAAGTGGTTTAATTACCCTGCAGTCTGTGGGCCAAAAGTGAGAAGTGGGTCCCCCTGGACTAAGAAGGGTCCAGAGCGCAGAGCTCAGCTGGAGGCTGGAGGAGAGGGTCGGGTTGTTCGCTCCTCCATGGAGCACCTGCAACACCCTTCCCTGTAGCTCTCGCTCCTGTCTTCAAAGGCAGCAACCCCACCCTCTCTGTCTGTTCTCCAACTCCCTCTTCCACCTCTGGGCCCGAGTGCAAGCAGAAAATCCAGATGAATCTCTAATTTAGGACCAATTGGTTAGCAAAGTTAACGATACGTGCTTGTGTAATTATCCTTTATAATGGTATCCAGCCTTTACAGGATGTGGAGATGAAATATGCCCATCTTTGGAGAGGAGCTCCTCTGCACACATATATAAAGGTGAAACACTAATCTTCTAATTCTGCCTATTACAGTAAAAAGTAAAAAATTATTGTCAAAACCATGTATTCTTCATGCCACAATATAAAATTGTTATGTGTTGCTCTATATTTCAATCTTCACTAAGTAATTTTGGATCTATCTATATATGTTGTTTTTCACTTTTGTGTGTGCACATATGTGTGTGTCTGAGACTTGGCTAAACAATCTGTATACTTATTTTTATCGATGAAATGTATTATATCAAATTGTATTATATAAGCTTGTCTATGTGTGAGTGTGTATTTTCTATTTGGAAAATTTCCTGGATGGACGTGGTGGCACATGCCTGTAATTTCAGCTCTTGGGAGGCTGAGACAGAGGATCTCCATGAGTTGGAGGCCGACATAGGGTACACAGTGAGTTCAAGCCAGTTCGAACTACACAGCAAGACTGTCTCAAAAACAAAAACAAGCAAAACCCACAGTATAGAAAATGTCCTCCCCAATCCAAAAATGGGCATCTGAAATGAACAGACACTTCTCAGACAAAGAAGTAGAAATAGCAAATAAATACATGAAAAACTGTTCAGCATCACTGGTCATTCAAGAGATGCAAATGAAAACAATGCTGAGATTCCACTTCACTCCAGAAAGAATGGCTGCTATCATGAAATCAACCAATAACAAATGCTGGTGGGGCTGTGGGGAAAGAGGAACCCTGCTCCACTGCTGGTGGGAGTGTAGACTGGTGCAAGCACTATGGAAATCAGTATGGAGATACCTCAAAGAACTAGGACTGGAAGTCCCATTTGACCCCACTATTCCACTGCTGGGGATCTTCCCCAAAGAATTAAAAGAATCATACCACAGTGATATATGTGCAACCATGTTCATAGCATCACAGTTTGTAATAGCTAAAACTTGGAAACAGCCCAAATGCCCATCAACTGGAGACTGGATAAAGAAAATGTGTTTTTTTAATATAAAATGGAGTACTACTCAACCATAAAAAATGAGAAATTAGAGACATTTATAGCTAAGTGGATGCACATTGAGACAATACTCTTAAGTGAAATAAATAGGACACACATGTGTAAATACCGAAGAGTTTCTCTAGTTTGAGAAGCTGAAAGTGTAAATAAGGACTAAATGTATAATAGGTAATGTGAAATAGGAAGAAAAGGGGCAAAGGGGAAGGAAGTGGGAGGGTTAGGGGAAAGGATAGAAGGGAATGGGATTAATATGAGAAAATGGAAAAATAGGAACAAAATCTTTGTAAATAGGGAGGACTGGAGGGGTTGAAGGGAGGGCTCGGCAAAGGTGAAAAACAAGAACCAAAAGAGATTATGTAAAGGTGCAAATTTCCAATGATGAATGTCATCATATTGTATACCTAAAATGTACCAATGATGAGAATGAATAATCGATAATGCAAAATAGGAAGAAAAGGTCCAAAGGGGTAGGGGTAGTGGGAGGGGCAGGGGAAAGGAAAGAAGGGAAAGGAAAAATGATTAGAAATGGAAGAAATGGAAATAAAGTCTTTGTAAATAGGGAAGGGTGGAGGGGGTGAAGGGAGGGCTAGGAATGGGGAAAAAATAAGAACCAAAACGCATCATGTAAAGGTACAACTCCCAATGAGAAATGTAATTGTGTTGTATACCTACAATGTACCAATAAAAGAATTTAATACAAAAAAAAAAAGACATACACTTATGATAGAAAAGAAAAAAAAAATGTCCTGAAAAAGGTAGTATTTTGAAATTACCTAAATTAAAATTAAAAATCAGTATACATGTATTATTTATCCTGGTTATTTTAATTTACCAATTGGAATTTTAATCATTTATTTTTCTACCTTTATACTCTCATACATAAAATGGCACAGTACAATGATAAAGGATCATTTTATATGAAATGAGGTAGAATTCTATAGGGTACATTTTGTCTGTAACATTAGAGTAAAACATATGAGCTTTAGCTAAAAAAATGAAGTCTTCCAAGAAACTATATTTGTAATATTTTTTATTTGTTTCAAATAGCAAAATTTGTGTTCTCATATTGCTTTGGTTTCTCTCCTCAAATTTTGGTTAGAATCCTTATTTTGTAGAGTAAGAAGTGAAAAACTATCATTTGAATTTCAGACATGGTTAGATGTGAAAGTACGGTAAAATTATTTTAACATAGATGTGATCTGCAGTCCATGGATACACAAAGAACTGGGGGGAAAAACTTGATGACAGACATAAATCTTACATCTCCCAATCCTTTCAACTTCCGGGTGTGTTACAGGGAAGAAGTGGTGAAAGTTGAAGGGATCCACTGGTGTTAAAATCGCTTGAGCTTCCCTTGACAAGGGAGCGAGATTTCACCATTAAAGCCTCTGTCTCCATCCTCATTTAGACAGTTTGCCACATGACAGGCCAGCTATTAGATTTAACATGGCATCACTTAGCTCTTAAATGCTGAGAGCATGGTCACCTAAAAATTGTTTATTGACATGACCGTTCTCAACAGCTAAAGGATAAATCTTACTGACAGAGGGACTCTGCTCAAAAGAATTAACAAGGTCAGCCATGTAACCTTCTAATATGAGAGACAAAGATATATTGCTTGGATTCTAAAGAGTGCCACAAAGCACAGTAATACTGAGCTTTTAAAAGCCTGTGGGCCTGCAAGTAGCAAAAACTATGATTTAAAAAGAGCAGTAAAGTTATGATGGGGTAAAGTCCTTGGGAGGTCAATAGGGTTTTAGTGCCTAAACTGGCAAAATTGACACCATTATTCCAGGTTTCTAAGCTAAAGGTCATTCAACTTATTTCCTTTTTTTAAAAAAAGGAAAGGATAAATTTTAGGCAAGATGCTCCCAGGCAAACTTGGTTTGTCTTCAGACTGCAAAATGACAGACCCTTTAAAACATATCATACCGCCTCGATTATTCTAAAGTAATAACACATAGAATCAGTCTCCTAGGTGGGCTGGAGCACTCACCGGTCTTGGTCACACATCTGCCTCTCTTCCCTGTTAAAGTTCTCTGAGGAGGGTCTGTCTCCCTGTGCTCACTGGTTCCGAAGTTTCATGTTCTTTGCAGGAGTTTGCAGCTCCACAGGGCTACATTTATGACTTTAATTTTTAGTGGCATGCTCCTCCCAAATGCCAATAAAATCTAACTGTAAAAACACAAGAGCAGGAAGCAATTAACTGTTACTTTAATTGGCCTATCCAAAACAGAAATAAACAAGTTACCAATAATTGCTCATTTTTAGCACAATAATAAAGAGAAATGGATATAATGCCAAGATGTTCATTCTGCTTCTAGATAAATTCAAAGCATATTTTAATTCCAAACATATCTGAAGAAAATTTAAACTTTTAAAGCAATTGCTGAATACTGGTCATTTATTCTAATAAGAAGTACCTAGATTTAAAAAAAACAATTTCAAATATACTATGCATAAAAAAAGAATATTCACAATATAAACTAATTTTCTCTTATTCTCTTGAGCAACCTGAAGTTAACTATGGTCAAAACCACTGTATTTTTTATATTACAGTATTTTGAACACAAGAAAACACAGCTGTTTACTATTCCTCTCAGTTCTTTTATCTCAAAAGTTTTGTTAATTATATGATTTTTCAAATTATGAGTAATATCAGTAAAAGAAAAAATTCTATAATCTCTAAATGTGCAGTCATAACTTTACTCAGATTAAGACTTGAAAGAAGGATATATTTTGAGACAAAAGAAATTTAATTAAGTGCCACTGTTTGGAAAATACTTCTTCAAAAATAATCCCTCCCATTTGGTGGCTGCCTGCATTTTGGGGACATACATGGTATATAAAAGCTTAAGGTTCTGCATAATTTATGTCACAATATTCTATACTATCACTTATTTCAAGGCCATCATTACCGTTCCATCTTCAATTTAGCAAACACATCTATGTACAATGCAGTAACTGTTCTGAACAGAAATGAATTCAATTATCAAAAATACTATTTTTCTTCCCCAGTTAAAATTTACATTTTTTTCTAAAATAACAATGCAGATTAATTGACATGCTAATATAAACCCCTTTCAGAGTAGCACATTACTGTTGCTGAGGGTCTTTCCTGCACAGGGATGTAACTTACCTGTCCATCAGAATCTGCCCAAATGGCTCCATAATGAGTTTTCTCTTCAGGATGCAGTCATAGACAAATGGCATCGATTCTGCAACGTAAAAACTTCTTTCAAACTCTCGAGCTTTTGACCCACATATCATGCAAAAAAATCTTGTGAGAAAAGCAGAAATTCCTCTCCCTGAGGAAATTGAAACTATATTATCAAATAAGAGGCTGCTGTAAAATTGGGTGCAGTATTTTTGTTCCTCTGTGCTGATGTGACATATGGGCATGTGCCACACTGATGGAACCTCAGAACCTGTAGGAGAGTATTTGTCTCAATGTGGAAGCCCAGCTGGTGAAAATTTGTGGAAAAATTTCTCCATACTTTTTCCCTTTCTTTGGACCTGACTCAGTGCACACAAAACCCCAAGTACTGCAAATCATAAAGGCTCAAAATGAAAAACAACCCCAGCTGCATGAATTGCCACTAGACAGCCAGTTGGGAACCCTAGATTTGTGATTTACTTGAGAGATGGGGAATTTCTCACACATTTGAGCCTGTACATTAGATATTCAGAGTTGCACACATAGGAAGAACACTATAAAATTCTACAGTACTAAATGGGTAACTTTTCCCCAAAACTCACTTAAGGTGCACATTTAGAGGGCAGCAAAGAAGTTAGATTGTCTCAGAAAACAAAGGAAATAGCCAAAATTAAAGAACAATGATTGAGGAGCTAAACTAAAGCAGAATCACTGAGATGATTTTCCAGCAGCAAAAGCAGGAAGTCCTATTATACCTGGACTATAGGATGTTTTTATTGCTGTGGAAAAATGTTTCAGAATCTCTCATTCTCCACACTTGCAAATGGGAATTTTATCTGGGACTTCTCAGTCTCAGCAGTTTTGGGGTTTTTGGTTTGTTTGTTTGTTTGTTTTTGTGGTAATGGGGATTGAATGTAGGCAGTGCTGAGTGACAATCCCGGCCTTTTTAATTTTTTTAGTTTGAGACAAGGTTTCCCTAAGTTGTCCAAGCTGGCTTCCAACTTGTGATCCTCCTGCCCATCTTCCTCAGTGGCAAGGATTGGAGGTGTAAACCACTACATCTGACCTCATAGTTTTGAGTGACATGTTTCTGTTCTTTGTAATCCACTGGGAACATAGTATTCAATTACAGCAGCTAGATTGGACTATGACAATGACTTAAGTCTGAATTCATATTAAAAAAATGTCTAAAATATTACGCAGCAGACTGTAGAGAAAGGTGCCTTAGTTACTTTCTCACTGCTGGGACAAAATACCAAACCCCCACAAGCTAAAGGAGGAAAGGTTCATTTTAACTCACAGTTTGTAGCAATTACAGTCCATGGTTGGCTGGCTCCAAGCAGAGTGGTGGCATGGCAGAGGAGAAACAGTCCATAGCATGGCAGGCAGGAAGCAAATAGCGTCAAGGGAGGAGGTTGCACATATCCACCCTTTCAGGCCATGCCCACAGTGACCCACCACTTGCCACCAGGCTTCACCTCCCAATATCACAGCCAACAATATATCCATCAGTGGACTAACCCAATATCACATGCTCATGATCTAGCATCACACACCCATGATCCAATATCACACACTCATGATCCAGTCACTTTCCAAACACCCCATCTAGGAGTGCATGAGACTTTGGGGGACAACTAGATACACTAAAACCTTGGTTTGTGAGCATATTTCATTCTGCAAACATGGTTTTAATCCAAAACACTTGTATATCAAGACCACCCCCCCCAAAAAGAGCCAATTTCTCTGCATAAAATAATGGAAACTCAGATGGTTCATTCCACAACCCAAAAATATTCATATAAAAATGATTATAATGCTGTAATACAAAATAATGCATACATCTTATGCTTTCTTTTGCCATAGAATATTTCTAGCTTCACTGTGCTATGATACGATAATATGCATGGGGTAATTTTAATTTTTGCATTTATTTAACCATTTTTTTGGCCAGTATGTGGTCTGTTTTTTAGAAATTTGTATGAATTGTTAAGAAGAATGTATTTTCTGTTTTTGTTAGGGGGTGTACTCTGTAGGCATCATTAAAGTCTATTTTTTGAAGGTTTAGTTCAACTTGTATTATGTCTAGAAGTGTATTATGAAGTAAAGATCAAGGGGGAATAGGGAATCATGGAAAGAAAAAAGAGTAGAATTTGGAAAAATAACCAATTGAAAATGAAGAGAGAAAATTGAGAAAAAGGATTCAATTGAGGAGTAAAATAAAATTAATAGTATTAGATAAAAGTAACAGAAAAGAATAGGCAAGGAAAAAGGAGAAGAAGCAGAGCAAAGTAAAGAAAAAAAGAAAAATAAGAAGGAAAGAAAGTATTAAAGGGAGAAAAGAAAAAGAAAAAAAATCCAAAACTCTTAAAAGAATGAGAAATAACAAAATTGAATGAAAAAAATTCCTCTTTTTGTGTGTGTGTGTGTGTTTGTTTGTTTTTTTGGTACCAGAGATCGATCTTGGGTCCTTGCACTTGCAAGGCAGGTGGTGGAACCACTGATCTAAGTCCCCAGCCCTTCTCTGTATTTTTGATTGTTTTCTTTCGAGGACCCCAGTCTTGGAATCCAGCAAGTCACAAATTTCTCCGCCTTGCTTTATGGCCTGTGGGCTTGTGTGGTGTCTCCCAGTCTGCTCCAGAGGCCTCTCTCTCCGTGCCCTCCAGACTATGGCAGCTGTCCAAGCAGAGCCATGTCCCTGCTAGACTGGGGCAGCAATCAGACCCAGGTGTCTGCTGGATGTAGGCGGTGGGGATGAGGATTCAAGCAGACTCCTAAGCTTATTGCCATCACTTTCAGATCCAGCCACCTGTGAAAGCCACACTTGCTGGGCCTGTGGCCTTCCCGTCCTGAGTTTGAATTTCCCCAGGGGTCTATATCCAGCCCACACTCTCTCCATGGCTGGCTGCAGTGGCTGCCTCTGACCAAGCCACTATGGGAGGGTAGCACTGCAAATCCTGACACAGTTGCTCTGTGGCTCAGAGTGAGGCGATTCACCCCTTCCCCAAAGGATGTCTGATTAAAAATTCTCTGACAGCATGCAAAGCACTTCACTGGTTTTTTCCCAACTCTAGCCTGCCATGAAGGAGTCATTTTCAGAGTAAAACCCCACACTGCTTTTGTAGTGTAAGTCAGCAGTGGGTTTTTCTTGGTACTAGTGCTGCTGGCTGGTTCCTTATTCTGCCTGGAGCTGCTGACTTTCAGGGACTTTCCTTCTTTCCCGGTGCACTAAACTCACCCACAGTTCAGGCAGTTGGATGCTCAGCACCTCCGCTGCTCTGTGCCGGGGAAACAAACACAGAGTGGGCATAGAGTCTGTGGGTGGCTGTGGCCAGGGTACAGAACCCCTGGGCATAGAGTTGGCCAGAGGTGAACGATACAGGGCAGGTTCTGTCTGTGATCTGCAGGTGGGTGGAGTTCTATCTGCCTCAAAAGCTTCCTAAGAAAGAAATGCCCGCACGTAAATGGGTCAGGATACTTCCCTCAAGATATTTTTTCTTCTGTTTTAGCTTAGAAGGAACCAGTTCTTGTATGCTTGACCTCTTGCTGTTTAGAGTATTCTGCTTAAATAAAAAATTAAAACTTCTGTTAAGCATATTGACAAAATTCTTAAGACATGTGCAGGAGGACCACTGCGCCTCCATTCCTAGACCACCTGTACAGTGTCAGTACTCCTAGAGCAGGACGTCCATGCAGAGGCCCCCTAGAGGTGCTTCACCTGAGGCTTCCTTGTGAATGAACCACATTTTCCACCCTAATTGGTGGCCCTGTCCTCCCAATCCCACCCACTTCCAGAGCCATTCCCTAGGGAAATGTGGACATGGTGCCACCACTCATGGTGGCTGGCATCACTCTGTAGTCTGCAGTATTGCACTGAGTGAATTTACTGATTGCTATTTTTGTAGGAGTCATTGTTGTAACTGACTACCTTGCCATCTGATCCTGGACTAGGGGATGCTCAGGACCTAAATTTCCAGGAACATATTAGTTATGTAAAGCTTGTTTTGGACATCTCATCTTTCCTTTAAACATCAAGAATATGGCTCTTTAGTCCTGTAATCTACTTCCTCAGGTAGTACTCAAAAATTGTCTCTGATTGTTTTCATAAAAATTCCCCACTTAAAATCCCCCTCTCAATACACTGAGATGAATCTCAATGGTTTAGTAAAAGCAGCTTTGTGAACAGAGCCCTCTGGGGACAACAAAGAAGTCAAGTAATGAAATGTCTGGAAATGGGATCCTAAGAGACTCTGATTCCATCTTAGGACCCCTGGTGGATAGCAGGTTGTGATTGTGGGCCACTTGTTTTCAAGCCAACCATAGAACTGAGGAGGAGATGCTGAGAAAAAGGCAAGTTAAAAATGTCAAAGGCAGTGGCCATTTCCATGATTCCACTGTTTTTCATGAATAAATGCACACTAGTTTGATAAAAACTTTTGACAAACTTCCAAAGATCCAAAAGTTGATTTTTAAACATTCTTTTTTGCCAGTGTTCTTGCTGCTTTCATGGGTAAATTTTTTTGAAAGTCCTTACTCTGCTTTCTTTGCTGATAGCATTTCTCTGCCTTAAATTTTAAAAGGGTAGTCTTCATCCCTGCTTGTGGTCAGCAGCTCTGCAGCTAAAGGATGAACGTGTTGGCTGTTGTGTTCAGTGTTGTGAAACCCATTTTCACAGACAGCTGTTGCACAACGTGTGGGGAGATCAGTCCCCAAACCATCCTGAATACCAGGACATGCAGAGGCTCACAGCCCTTACAGAAAAGGCCTGCCTATGTCCTCTTCTATACTTTAAACCATCTCTGCATTAAACAGAACACACTGTGAGTGCTGTGTAAATAGCTACTCACTGTGTGGTTTAAGGACTGATGTCCAGGAAATAGCATCTGCCCATGTTCAGAGAGACATTTTGTTCCAAATAGTTTAGGTCTTTGAGGCTGAGTCCACGGTCACAGTTGCGTCTCTGCTGGTGATGATCCTGGTGCTGGCAGCTCCACCTTCACGGGTCTTGGTCTCTGTCTCTCAGCTGCATGCACTGGCTTCCCCTGAAGTGGCTCCTCGTGT